TTAATTTAATTTTATTGTAATTTTTTTTTAAATTAATTTTAATTTAATGTAATTTAATTGTAATTTTTAATTTTATTTTTATTTTAATTTAATTTAATTGTAATTTTTTGTAATTTGAATAATTTACAATTTAATTGTTTACTAATCTAAATAATTTTATATTTAATTTTTAAAAATTTGAATAATTTACAATTTAATTGTTTACCAATCTAAATTATTTTTACATTTGAATTTTTCATAATTTTAAATTAAAATTTAAATTAATCAATTTACAATCGATCGTTTGATTGATTGATCGACGAATTGAAATTAAAATTGAAAATTCCTATAAAAGAGAATAAAAAAAAGGTTGGAATGGGTACAACCATTTCTCAATTTGTAATATTGGTAATAATTAATGAACAATTTCTTTAATTACTATAATTAATTACCATAGAATTGGCAAATGGAAAAAACATGCCCAACGTGAAAATTCCTAAAAGTGGACCAGCTGTTATACCTGACAAACTTTTACCAGCCTGTAATAAAAAAAAAGAAAATAATAATAATAATAATATTCAATTTTTAAAATAATTCTTTGTCAATTTATTTCTCATTTTCATTTTCATTTACATTATCATTTTTTGGGGTCTTTTTTTTAATTGCAATGTAAACAAAATATGATTCAATAAGAAAATATTAACGTTATTGTTTCAATTATTGTTTTCAAATTAATTACCTGAATCAAAGTGGTGAGTTTTTCAACTAAGAAAACCAATCCAACACAAATGATACCAATCACTATGACAATTAATTTCATTATTCTACTTGCACCAACGTTAGACATTGGTTTCCTTAAACAAGGTTTTATTATATCTTCGTAAATAACCCCAGACAATGAATTCAAACCAGTTGACATTGTGCTATAAATCATTTTTCATTAATTAATATTATTATCTTATTATTATTTTTTTTTTCTTTTTTTTTCTTTTTTACCTGAGAGCAGCACTAAAAACTCCTGAGACGAAGAGACCAGGTAAGCCAGGTATCGATCGTGCTATCTCCATCACAAAATACGGCAACAACTGATCGGGTTTCTGTATTTGCTGAAATACGAGATACTTTTCTCGATATACGAGTTCAAAAAAAAAAAAACAAAATGAAAGAAAGACAGAAAAAACTATCATGTGGGCAGATCACACGTACCTTTTCCGAAGTTCTTTTCGAAAATTAGAGAGGTTCTTTCCGAAAATTAGAGAGGTTTTTTCCGAAAAGTAGTGAGGTT